CTCCCCTCATAGACCAAGAGGCACGCACTGCGTTGGCGCGTTTTCGTTCATGTGCGCACGATCAGGTAGTCGCTCTTCTTCATCAACGTGCAGGGGATGCAGCGCACTTGGTCGTGCACTTCTCCGGCGTCCACGTCAGCATGCACAGGCTGGGCCCAGGGATACCTGGCGGCCCAGGCAATCTGCCATCTGTGGGGATTTTCCTTCTGCTTGTCCCGCCATGCACCGTCGCTCATGCCCTTGCGGATGCGCTGTGTCTGAGCCCGCTTGGCACTGCGAGCACTCGGGTTGGGCGCCTCGCCGCATTCGTTGTTGTCAAGCTGATTGGGTGACAGCTTGCGCTTATGCTGATCACAACCGCCATGGAAGGCAGGGGTAATGGCGCCCGTGTCATCGGTCGCCGCTGGCAGCAACATTGCCGATGCATTACCGACAACAGCACCGCCGTCCCAAACGCCTTTATCAGGAAAAAATTTAAACTTATCTTGCTGTTTTTGTGTTTGTTCGGTGTTCAAGTCGTTGCCTTTTGCGTGTTTGTCTATGGAAGGACCGGTCATACATTCTGCTATGCCGCGTTGACTCACGGGCTTGACCTTCTTACGGCCCCTCATATCTATTTTATGATCGATAATACTAAGTTCTGCACACTACGGAGCAATCTGGCAGCAATGGACGTTTTTGGCTGAAGGAATGAAAATGTACGGATCGGCCTCACTTTGTTCCTTATTTCCAAAGGCCAAAAAGGCTTCTTTATTCCTTAAAAGTAATATATTACTTAAAAAAAAAACACTGGTCCGTACGGCAGTCTCCTCCTGGGGGTTGTGGGCTTCCGGGCGCAGCCCACTGCAAGGCATTGCAAAAACACCTATTGCCGCGGGGGGGGATGTCAAGCCAGCATGAAATCCCCCTAAAACACCCGGAAAAGGCACGGCTCACAGACGCTGCCTGCTCTTGCTCACCACGCTGAGAGCCCTTCCTCTTCTGTCCCTGGCCGACTGGGTCCAGCATCACCTACTCTCCCTCTTTATCCCACTCTCCTCCACCGCTTTCCCCACGTCTCCACTCCCACAAGCCACCTACGCCGACTCTACTCTGATGCCAGACAGCACAGAACCTAATCCCCTCTCTACGATGGGCCCCAACTCCCAGGGAGAGGGAATACATACGAACACACACAGTCCGGCTCCGCAGCTCCCCCTGCTAGACCACTGACCCTAGGCCAGGACACTGCCTTCTCGCCCAGCCATCCACCTGCCCAGAGCCTCCCTGCTCTCCTCGCTCCCTCACCCTTCCGACCTATCCTTACTCCTGGCTCTCTCACTCCCTCCCTCACTCTCCATGCTCCCACACGATTCCCGAAGAAAGTGAGAGAAGTAAAAGAAAAAAACCGGGAATAAAATTCTCGAAGAAAGAGAGAGCAAGGAAAAGAAAGGCAGAAACACGCCAGTGTTTCTGTTCCCGAAGAAAGTGAGAGGAACTAAAATAAAAGGAAGGCAGACACATGGCCGTGTTTCCGGCTTTCTTTCTTGCTCTCCTTTCTGAGGGCTACGGCTAGAACCCCCGTTCGTGCGTGTGTGCGTTCGCGACTACAATGGCAAGCTCTGGCTTTTGTTTCGACGATGGAAACAAGATTAACACAAGTGTAAAGTTTTTGAGAAGTCGCCTGTTCAAGTCCGAGGCGAGATAGCTTGTTTTAAAGGATATTCCCGAAGAACGTGAGATTGCTCTCCTTTAAAAGATAAGGCAGAAACACGTCCTCGAAGAAAATAAGAGTCGGTGCTTCCCTCTTTCTTCTTGCTCTCCTTTCTGTCTGAGGCTGAGGGATAGAGGCGGCAGGGGATAGAGGCGGCAGGGGATAAAGGCGACAGGGGAGAGGCGGCAGGGGATAGAGGCGGCAGGGGAGGAGCGGCAGGGCATAGAAGCGGCAGGGGAGAAGCCGGCAGGGGAGAAGGTGGCAAGGGAGAAGGCGGCAGGGGAGAAGGTGGCAGGATATAGAGGCGGAAGGGTAGAAGGCGGAAGGGGAAAAGACGGCAGGGGAAGAGGCGGCAGGGGAGGAGATGGCAGGGAATGATCCGGATAGAGGCAGCAGGGGATAGAGACGGCGGGGGAGAAGGCAGCGGGGGATAGAGGCAGCAGGGGATAGAGACGGCGAAGGAGAAGGCAGCAGGGGATAGAGGCGGCGGGGGATAGAGGCGGCGGGGGAGAAGGCAGCGGGGGATAGAGGCAGCAGGGGATAGAGGCGGCAGGGGATAGAGGCGGCGGGGGAGAAGGCAGCGGGGGATAGAGGCAGCAGGGGATAGAGACGGCGGGGGAGAAGGCAGCAGGGGATAGAGGCGGCAGGGGATAGAGGCGGCAGGGGAGAAGGTGGCAGGGGATAGAGGCGGCAGGGGATAGAGGCGGCAGGGGAGAAGGTGGCAGGGGATAGCGGCGGAAGGGGAGGAGGGGAGGAAGTGGCAGGGGGGGAGGCGGCAGGGGAGAAGGCGGCAGGGGATGAGAGGGGAGGGGAGAAGGTGGCAGGCCAGGACCAGCAGGGCTTAGAGGCTGCCGGGGAGGATGCGGCAGGGGAGGCGGCAGCAGGCGATAGAGGCTGCCGGGAAGAAGGTGGCAGAGGAAAGAGCCTTACGGCAGAATGTAAGATTCAGGTTTTATGACAAGTCCGGGGTTGGTCATGTCGTTTTCAGTTGCGCACAAACGGAAGGTGACATCGTGCACATGTACACCCTAGGGTTGGGAGGAGGAGGCGGCGGATAGAGGCAGCAGGGGAAGAGGCGGCAAGGATGAACGTGGCAGGGGATGAAGGCGGAAGGGGAAGGAGGCGGCAGGGGATAGAGGCGGCTGGCGAGGAGGGGCATGAGATAGAGGCGGCAGGGGAGAAGGTGGCAGGGTAGGAGGTGGCACGTTTAACACTTCCCTCCACCCTCTATTGTCTATGGTCTTAGGCGGTAAGGCCCGGTACGCTCCCTCTCAGTGCCGTGGCGGCACGAAACGGGGAGAGCTGTAAATCTTCTGCATGGGAGGGGGTGTATGTAAGGACACACGGTCTCTCAAAACACCGTTCGCAATGTTTCCAACTGCTTTCGGCACTGCACAGGGACATCGCCGCCGCGCGTGTTTGACACAAACTCGCGATATACTCTCTGTAACCAATAGTACAGATTTCTCACCTCGGAACAAGTCCCATGCCGCAACAACGGAGTGCACGACGAGAACTTCTTCAAACTGACGCACAGCTTCCACCCGTTCGTCGTCCCCATCCAGCGCCTCGTGGAGGCACCTCGTGAGAGCCGCCATTTCAGGCTATAGACGCAGTAGAGAATTACAAGTGAAGGCGGATGGTTGCAAGTGCACCATGGTGCATTTGCATGTTGGAAACACGTAAAGCAAGAAATGACGCACCGCATCGTTGGGACTGCGTGTCCGCTGGTCCCGGGCATCTCCATCGTCCACAATGTCCTCCAGTGTGACATCGATCGCGGCCATTTGCTCGCCGCTCCTACATGACAGTAACCTAGCTTCTAGATAAACACCGCTACACACTGAAGTTGGGTAGTTGTGTAATGCTATTGTAAAGTTCGCTGTGATATGCTTGTGACCCAAGCATACATGCCTACCCAACTCTTGTTGTACGGAAGCGTGATGCATCGCATTAAAGCATGACAGTGCACAACAGCGGAAGTGCTTTTGACATAGTTATACAACTCTA